AGGCTGCTGGCTGTAGCCTTATGTGTTATAATGGACAGATTTGAGAGTGGAATCTATCATGTCATCTATCTCCTGGCAAGAATGCGACAAAGTGTTTTTCCTTAAATGTCAAACCATTCCTTTAAGAACACAACACAGAAACATGAGCCAAAGACACATTCAATTTCCATTTTCAAACATTAATAATATATCCATCCATCCATCCATCCATCATCATCCGCTTATCCTGCGTACAGGGTCGCAGGAGGCTTGAGCCAATCCCACCTTACATCGGGCGAAAGGCAGGGTACACCCTGGACAGGTTGCTAGTCCATCGCAGGCATTAATAATATATGTAAGTATGAATTGAAAATGAATGAAAATATGAATATTCAAGGCTGAAATACCTACCAGGCAAAGTGGGCAACTGCCCCGAGGGAATTAGTTTGTAGTAGTATAATTAATTGCAAATGTGTTAATACTGTATCACTAAAGCACTTTCTAAACTAAAATGACCTGCACCTGCACCTGATCTTTAGATTATCCAGCCCTGCCTATGTCGTATTACATAAGCTCCTACTGACAACAGAAAAGGACTGTCTGTACTGAAAGCAAAGCATCATTTACTAACTTTTCAAAATATTCAGCGGATCTGCCTAATTTCACCCACAAGGGCCCCCAAAAGGTTTCGGGCTCAGATCTCATCACAGTGTGAGCCGCTCTCTCGATGTATCCATTTATAATTCAATTCTGTCCCAATTAATTCATCAGTTTCTCTCCTCTCTAAATGGAATTAGGTCAAAGCCACGCATACACAGCCAAGCCCCCGCTATGATTAAAATCCCTGCTTTTTATATAGGTTAGTCATTATTCTACTCACCGCAATATTGTTTATTCAACACTTTTTCTGTGGATGCAGGCTTCACTTGGCTCAGGCACAGAAAGGGTCCAGATGAGGCCGTGAGTACCCTGTTATATCTTACGAAATAGAATTTAACAACTGCCGGTCATATCTAAGTCTAATTACAGTCTGACAGGGTCCACTGTTGGCAGAAATTGTAACCTCCCAAACAGGGATCCACCACATTCATTATTTAGTTTTTATTATTATTTAGTTACATTCATTTGAGATGTAACTACACGCAAACTTCCCGAGAGGGGCACCAAAAAATCATATAGGTGCAATGTGTGACAGTTTTGTGACTGAACTGAGGCCCTGAGGTTATTAAAAAGTTCCATGTCTCATTTACACTCATTGAGTATCACATTTGCGAAGAGGTGACAAGCAGTGAGAATCTTGCCTGTATGTCAGGTACTACACGCCTGATCTTATTACTTCTCCTATTATTCTTTTAGTCCTATGCTCCCATGAGAGAGCAGATGTCCTGAAGAAGGAGGTTTCCTGTGCCTGTGATGAAGAGGGTTAAACCCCAACAGGCTGCTCATCGCTCTTTTTAATTTACACCCACGGCTGGCTGTGTAGGTGAGTGGTGCCGACTCCATGTTTTACTCTGGTTTTATCTTGCGTCCAGTTTCATCCCTGCTATTTTCTCTTCTCTTCTTCACACCATGGCTCCTTACCATTCCTCTTTTTCCCTTCTCTGCCCCCAACTCCTATATCTGCCTCTCTCCTTCTTCACTCTTCTCCCTTTCCCATTTTCTTATTGCTGCTCTTTTCAGTGCTCTCCCCATCCTTTCCTCCTCATTCCCTCTCTCGAAAGTAGGTGTTTTCCAGAGTCTCCTGTTCAACAATTGCGGTTTGTCTCTCCCTCCGTCTCTCCGTCCCCTCCTTCTTGGTCTTCCCTTTCGTACATACCTCACTTTTTATCTCTGCCTTTGCTCCAATCTCAAGCATCTCTTGCACTTTCCAGCAGCATTCGTCCTATTATTTTAGCAGGATCGCGGGCCAAGGAGGCACTCAAATGGTGACCTCCCATCTATGCACCTCCCTATTCTTACACACACACACACACACACACCCCTCTTTGGATTCACCCTCTCAAATCAGCGTGTATGCAAAGAAATTAATGAATATAAGTGAAATACATAGGGACATATCCATACATGCATGACATCCATGCAATATATTAAAATTCTGTGTTTTGGACTCATCTGCAAACACATCATATTTTCCCACTAACATTATTTACAAGTGAAACCACTTTTCACCTCATTTTCTGTCATATTGTGATTGTTTCCATGTATGGATAAAGGCGTAAAATCCCAGCTTACATTGCTAAGAGACAGCTCACCGCATCACTTTTAAAAACGCATGCCTCTGATATGGTTAAGTCATGTGTCTGGAGATAAAACACAGGCCACAGGTTCAGAAATAAGACTATGTGAGATCAAAGTCTTTGGGTGTATGCTCATTATGCAGCCCCACATAGGCTTCTTTCTGTACAGCGGTGGGGGCATTTTGATGACACTCTAATTAAGACAGTGCCATCCACAGTAAAAGCAGAGAAACACCGTTGCAATGATATCTTTAGGTGCCTTTCATGTTTTTCTTAATACCCACGCAATCCTGAGTTACTTAGTGAAACATACCTCTCTTTTACTCACCTAACCACTATTGCACAGAATCCATGTGAAATGAAAATGATGAGTAAAAAAAATCAATAGAATCCCACAAGCAATAAGCAGCAAGACTGATAGAGACAATAAATAAGACAGACTGGCCAAAATCCGTCACCGGAGGAATGTCAGGATGCCACTGAAGAGAGAGAAAACACCCACAGAAAAACAGGGGAGGGGGTAGGCAACAGAATTTAGTCAGAATGGAGAAAAAACCCCGATATGATAGTATATGAGATACCTCAGAAAATCTAATTCATCCGACTGTGTGTGAAGGGTGAGAAGCACCGTCTCCAGCCTCCTCCGCGGACTCCTTTGGGGTCCCTGTTCGCCTCAGGCAACTTCCTTGCGGAGCTCAGCAGTTTTCCCCCCCAAAATATCAGTCCTCCTGGAGTGAGATTTTGTTTTCCACAACAGCAAACGGATTTAAAGACAATAAGACCATCCGCAAGGCATGCAGAAGAATATACCTATATAAATATATATATATAGCCTAGCCTATATACGTAGCGGATATTTTAAAAAAAAAGTACTCCATCGTGACCAGCACAGCTGATGTTGTTGGTGAAAATGCAATAATTGTTAAACCCGCACTTGTTTAAGGTGACAATAGAGGGAGGCTGCTTGTGATGAAGTCAATACCCAAAGAATGAGCCTCAGATACAGGAGGGGGGGGGGGGGGGCGGCAGGGACAGCGCAGAGGAATTCATCATGCACGGAATGTGTCAGTCATGATCGATAATGTTGGTAAGAAAAATGTAAAAAAAAAACTCACCTGATTTCTATCCACAGTCCTCTCTAACATGTAGTACTTTTGCGCACGATCCCCCCTTTTCCGTGAAGTCCACTCGTGCCGCTCCACGGACGCACGCGCGCACAACCCTCTACGGCTCCTCCGGTGTTGTCGGTGCTGAAAGGGACAGCGCACGACGCGGCCAAGTGAAGCACGAAACCCCACTCTACATGAAACACATGTATTCCAGGCATCGAGGAGTCTGCTCAGTCCGCCCGCACCAAATCATCGTCTAATAGCGCCACTGTCGTCCAGCAGAGTGCACCCATTCAATCAAGTTTATTAGCAATCAATCGGATCGATAGTTTCCACAGTAGAGGGCTTTGGTTATTTGAACACATTAATAAGTCATCAAAATATGCTCACACAGGCGTTGGCCACGCTCTTAATTGCCCGAACTTCAATCCAGTTTCACTGCGCCCATTGATTCCCCCCTTGTAAAAACCATGGCGCCACGGCTCTTTGTGGTGAATGGAATTAAATAAATGAACCGCATCCCATCTGCTGTGTAATAACAATTTGATAAGCTTGTGTGGAGTGAGGAACCAGGCAATCGAAACAGACCAGGGTGTTCTCTTATGTGACAATGTGGAAGATGTGCGCAACATGTCCAATTTGTGGCTTTACCGCTGCGGCGAAAGGGTGAAGGGACGCGGAGCAATGGCGCCATCTCGTGGCGACAGTTGCGTAAATGCAAGAGGGAAAAAAGAGCAGGTCTGGGGGGTCCTCAAAGTGTTGCTGCCTGAAAATGACAGTGCAGGAATTGTCTTTTCATTTTTCCCAGCAGGTAAATCAGCAGTGGAGGAATGTAACTTTATTCAGTTACTCAAGTACTGTAGTACAGTTGCAAGGCAACCTGAACTTTAAGTACTTTTATTTATTGCTACAATGCTGTAGCTTTACTTGTTACAGCGTGGTATTGCTACTTCACTTTGGTAAAGGATCAGCACTTCCTCTACCACTGTAAACTGGAGATCAGCATGTAGAGTAAACCACTTAGTATATCTCCAACTGGACTGGTCTAAGGGACTACTGCTTCGTTGGCTTCCAATGTCTGGACCAGGGGACGTCAAGGGTCCTTTGAGGTTCTGCAGAGGGCCCCCAGCAGAACAAAGGTCACTTAATTTCTTTATTTAGTTCACACCCTCCCTTGCCTGACCATGTCTTTTAAACATATGTCCATTTGAGAAGTAAAAAAATAAATAAATAAAATAGCAGGTGGACCTTTCAGTTGAATTTTTGTTCAAGGCCAAAGCAGAAATAACCCTGATATCATCATTCTGCAAGCCGCAGTAAATTAAGCTAAAATCCTTTCAAATCGGACATTTAGTTAATAAAAGCCTGTGGTTTTAAGATGTTTGTGAGTTCAAAGCTCAAAGCATAACCTGTACTGATTCTTTTCACTATATGTGGATGAATGTGCACTTAAACACGACCTCTTGTTGACTTAAGTCCTACGTCACAAGAAATGACAGTGGGAACTGGAAATCTCAAAAAATAACTGAAAATGCAAATGTCCAAAGAAGCAATTCCTGGAAAGGCAAATGAAAGCTCTGCTCTGCAAATACAGTAAACAAACATGATTGATGGAAGTATATGACTCACATCTGAGGACAAAAAAACAAAACAAAGCAACACAAAACACCCCCTCTGAGGTTTGAAGCAGTACATTTTTATTTATGAAGTGGTTGGTTTTAACATTCTTGTCACAACTGAAAGGCTTCTCTAACTCGTCTCAGGTTATCTAGAAGGTGAGCTTAAATTACAACTGATGATGAAAGTATTGAAAAAGAAAAGTCCTAAGAGTCTCTTGAGGTTTGATTCCTGTTTATTTTACCAAAACCTCCTTCAAACAAAAGGAATAAGATACAAAAAAACAAAACAAAAAAAAACAACTCATTGTGGAACAACACAAACTTGCCTCAGTATTAAACAGTGACAGAGTAGTTACTAGTCCGACATGTTTGAAGCATATGGTCAACCAACAGTTAAGTACAAGTCAATAACTATTGTGACTATTATAACTATTATTTATACCATCTGGGTAGGATGCATATGTACAAGACCTTGTTGCTGTGTGCATTTTCTGCTATAAAAATAAAGTTTGGTCTTAACTTTTTTCAGGTTTTTATTCCATTTCATGGCTTTCTGAACATTAAGACATATCTACATTTGGTCTTCCTCAATCCTTTCCTTCCAACCCACATGCCAGTGTTTCAAAGACTACCCCTGGATGCTGTTAAACAAATGCAGCCCCCTTATTAAGTTTGAGTACATGAAAGCACACTTTGAATGAAACTGATTCAAAGTGTGTAAAGAAAAGTTTATTCGAATGAGCCCCTGCATTGTTTGGTAATGGAACGAAAAGTTTACGTAAACTTTGAAGTTTGGAGAATTGAGCTATTTATCTTAACAGGGATTATAGCTTTCTTTCCCCCCCCTCCTCCATGTTTACAGCTCCCACATTTTGGCCCCACTACAACTGAGATATGTCTGCTTTGCAATAAATCGCTAGGTTTGAGGACTGATTTCTGAACTTAACATAGAAAATAAAGTATTCCAGTTGATGGTTTCTAATATCTAAAGCAGTGCAACCTGTCTGCAAAGCTATTTCATTCAAAAACACTTTTCTCCTTAACAATATGTGCAGGCTTATCTTTCGTGCTCGCTCAAAATTGGATTCTCCCACATTAACACAGGTGATTTACCATGTAGGGGGTAATAATGGTGTTAATTTGATAGTCGGAATGTTTCGCCTGTGGTAACACACCTTGGAGTTAACAGTCAAACTGAGCTGTTATATTAAAAAATAACTCGTATTTGAAAGCAACTGAATGTAAAGCAAATGGGATTTAATATATTAAGCATGCGTAAAAGTGTTATATTATCATTGTATCACCTGTTTCATATCATTATAATTATGAAATTTGTTATTTTGTGAGTGAAGGTGGCACTTTCTTTCCTAAAAATTTGCCTTATTTCAGAACAGAACTCCCTCAGTACACAGACTGTCGTCTCATTGAAGCCTTGCTTCACATAGCCTGGTTATAAGAGAACCAACGGGCTAACTATTGCTGGGACTAATAAATTAATATACAGAGGTAAAACAGGGTGCGGTCAAAGCAAACACCCTTCACAAATGTTTTTCACTGGCAGTCCAACAAAAAAGACAGAACATAACAGTGATAGTTAAGAAAACACAATTGAGAGCAGGAAATTAATAGAGTTGTTTTTAAAACGCACACACAATTTCTAAGGAAAACTGCAAAACTTTGGGGTTTCCGTTGCTTTGACCATACCCTGTAATTAACAAGCATTTCATCCTGTAATACAAGACCTCAGCTGCTGTTGGTCACTGCAAAGCAGATCCAGCAGGCTATTAAATCAGACTGTGGACTGCTTGCATGAAGAATATTAAAACTAGAATTCTGATCTTTCAGTAGCAACATTTACATGAAATGCTAATTTTAAATTTCTAACCCTTAAGACTTACAGCAGAATCACTTTGGGTGAAGCTTCTCTCTGTTAGATAGCAGGACACAGCAGAGCTCCAATTGTCAGTGGGAAAATGTCAGGGAAATCAAGGGGAAGGAAAAGGTAAGGGGTGATAATTTGTAGTAGTGTTAAGCAAGAGGTCTTGACTATATCAAATTGTTAACATCCTCAACACAGTATATAAGGTGTGAATATAAAAGCTAACAGCCAAGGACCCAAAGAAGTTGTGTGTATGTCTGTGGGACTGCATGGGTCAAATCAAGTTATGCTTTCTCCAAAACAAATTTAAAAAAAGATTGTTTCCAGTTTATTTTCTATTGATACCACAATCCAGTTCTGATTCCCTACCTCTTTCTCTCTTTCTCTCTCTCACAGACACACACACTTTTTGTACCTTCATCCTTCTGCTAAAGGCGGTTTATCGAGAGCAAAGCAGCACAAATCAGATATCTGCATTTGGATCTATATTTACACACATTGTTGTAAATACAGATATATACAGTAGTAGTGAATCTTCAATTCACTGCCACCATCCAGCAAGCTCTGTGGCTTCATAATCAAACTATACAGAAAAAAGGTCAGATCCCAACAATATATATTTGTTTATAAAGCAAAAGGTGGAAATCCTTTGTACTTCACTCCTCCATCGTGCACCGTTGTTCCTTTTGTTTGCTTCCTTCATCTCTGCTCTGTGCTTGTTCCGTTCAGCCTCCCCCCTCCCCAAATGAAACTTTTGATTCTCTTCTTCGTTATTAGTGGCTCGCCCGTCCATTATCCCAGGGGGACTGTGAGAGAGGGAAGAAAAAGGGGAAGGAGAAGAAGAGAGAGATGAGAAATGAGGACAACAAAAGAAAGAAGGGAATACAGAGTACAGGGAAGGATCAAGAGAGAAAAGGGGAGAGATGAAAGAGGTAACAAATAAGCAAAAAGGCAGGGGAAAAACAGACAGAGGAAGATTTCTAATGAGCAGAGTGATACACAAAGACATATGCGAGAGGGAGAAGCTTGGAAACAGCTGGCAAATTGCTGAGCGGTCAATTAAATCTTGCAGAATGATTGTGTTTCCAATCTTTACCCTAGGGAATTGTCTTCTACACAAACATAAAAACACACCTCTCTCGCCACAACGGAAACTCATATATCACACACACAACAGACAAGACATTCACAAATTTTGCTCAAGTGCACAGCACACATTGGCGTCTCTTTGTGGTGTCTAAATGCACCAACAGAGGGAGGGGGAAAACAGGACAGGAGGAAATCCAGTGCAACTCAGATGAAAAAACGTATAATGACAGGACACGAGCTTTAGGTAAACCCTTTTTTATTCTTACCGTGTGTGTGTTTCACCAGACCAGGGATTTGGAACGGGTGTTGACCCCTTTCCTCCTGTTGGCTGCTGCCGTCGCTGCGTTACGATGACTTCGCTTATGAGACTCCAGGTACAGCTGACAAAACAATTTAAAGAGAAGATCACTTACTTTGAATTCTTTAACACTAAATCCACACAGGATACAGATAAATGCTGCTGACATTTCATTACAGTTACATTACAGAAGTTAAAGTACTCTTTAATGTAACAACGGGCACTGGGAAAAGTCTACAAAGTGTTTTTTTAAAGAGTTAAAATCCAGTACCTTCTTTGCAAAGGCCCGTCCACACTGGTCGCAGGCGTGGAGGGAGAAATTCTTGGTCACTCTGACTTCAGTGGAGGACGACCCTGTAGCGCTGCTCTCCGAATGGACGTCATGTCGTCGGGTGTGTGGGGCTTGGCTGCTGGGCGAGGCGGTGGAAGAGGAGTTGCGTTGGTGTGTGTGCTTTTCACTGCGGCGGGTCAGCGGCGGGCTTATGGGGCGATGCTGCTGTCTCTCCTGCTTACGGGTGACAGGAGGGGACGGGGCAAGCGCTGACGATGACAGGTCCTGCTGTTTCCGTGTAACGGGGGCAGGAGGCGGGGCGGAGGAAGAGGGGGCGGAGCCCGACGTGACTGGGGCAGCGGCGGAGCACTCTTGCTTGCGTGTGACGGGAGGTGAAGGAGAGGAGGAGGATGAAGACACGTGACGTCCGTTCACTTCCTCTTTGACGTTGCCACTTGTCCTCTTGCTGGGGTTTGTGCTGTTGAGGACTACCTCAGCCAGCCTCTTCACAGCCCTGCTCTCCAGTTTGGGCATGATCTTGGCTAGGTATGCAGATGACTTCTTGTGGACCACAGTCACGTGACGCAGCACGTCACGTTTGCGACGCGACTCGTAGCGGCAGAGGGGGCAGCGGTAAAATTTAATGAAGATGTCGTTGCCGTCCGTGTGCAGCTCAATGTGCTTTGTTAAGTTTTGGCGTGAGCTAAACTGACGCTTGCACAGCTTGCAGAAGAGCTGCTTGAAGTCAAAACCAACCGACAGTTTGGTCATTTTGGCGGGCACGCCAACGCTGCACACGTTGCCCCCACGCGAGGATGATGAAGATGAGGGTGACGTCATCTTTGGGCTCGACGGGGCCTCCTCCTCCTTCACCTTCATGGCGTTGTGTGCCATGGAAACATCTTTAGCTGTCCCAGTGCTGTCACTAGGAGACGCGGCTGGACTGCTGTCAATGTCCTCTTCCTCTTCGTCATCTGAAGGCTCTACAGCTTCTTCTTTCACTCGGACATTGTTCCTCGGGCCTAAGTTAGCGCTGCTACTTGGAGTGGCTGCTGTAGTAGAGGAGGTTGACATGGCAGCAGGTCTGTTACTTTTGATGCTGTATATTTTGTGGACAATACGCATGTGCCTCTTCAACATGAGCTGAAATACAGAGAAAAGAATACAAGTTATATGTAATAATAATAATAAGATCAATTGATACATTTTACATAGTTTTCATATATTTATTGGTTTTATTGATACCCCTCTCCATGTGTGGAATTCCCACAGTTAGGACAACCTACTGAAGATTATGAAACACCACTGACAGGAACAATTTCAGAGTACCTCTTGCTGCCACACCTGAGACTATTAAGACACCAAAAGCTAGAAAAGCTTGAAGCTGCCAGTAGTGCAACAAACAAACCTGAGAGCTGTAGTTCCTCTTGCAGAGCGTGCAGCGGCATGAGGCCGGGGTCGCCTGTGGAGAGGCTGGGAGCTGACTCTGAGGTTTGGACTGGGTTTGGCTCGAAGGCGTTGTTTTAGAGTTCACGGGCGTGGACTTGGTGCTACGTGTTGGAGATGCATTGTTGCTCTTCCGGGGGGGGGTGACCTCCAGAGAGAAGGGCTGGCCGGGCCGCGAGGCGATGCTGGATGTGATGGTGTCCCGCCGCAGGCCGCGATGCACCTCGTCAAAATGACGGCGCACGTTGGCTTTAGTTGCAAAGGTTTTGAGGCACACTGGGCAGGATTTTCCAGTAGGTGTGCTGAGAGTCCTCGGCCGGCCTGCAGCAACAACAACAATAATTGTTATTTTATTTGTTTCCATTAAAAAGCAAAAAAACACAAACAAACAAAGCTGAAATACAACACACAGTTTTATTTGACAACAGGTAAAATTACTTGCTTAGTATTACTTATTACTCCTATTGCTATAAAAGCTGACATTTTACATACTGCCGACTAAAGCTCAGCTAAATACGCCTAAAATGAACACTGATTACTTGGACAATTGCAGTTTTTATTTATATGCTACACAAAAATAACTTGTCCAACGTGCATGCATAAAACCGAGTACTGACATTTTTGATTTAGATTATTCCAGGAGGTTTGTTGGTTTGGTTCTACACTGTAACTATTCAGCTAAACCAAGAAAAAAAATCATCAACATGACAATTTGTATCAGCTCTCACCTTTCACCATAGAGAGCAGGCTTGTGGGAACGGTACGCGTCTCTGTGAACTTCCGCAGCTCTTCCAGTTTGGTCTGGTGCATCTTTCGGCAGTGACGCCTGATGCTGCGGCGTGAGTTAAAGTCCTGACCGCACAGACAACAGGAGATTGTCACATCCTCAACCTGGATAGGAGGGAGAGAACAAGCGAGAGGTTGTTGATTATCAGTGAGCATATGAAAAAGCAACGAACCTCTGCAGCAATGGGTATTTCTAAAATCAGTTTAAAGATGTTTCCTGACACGTCCAGTCACCTACCCCACTAGTGGACCCCTCGTCTTCATGCTGTGGCTGCTCCTTTTTAGCCTCCTCCTCAGCCTCCCATCTCCTCTGCCCCTGTCCCGGGCTACTGAGGCTCTCTGGCCCTCCTGGCTGGCTCGGCTGGTTGTTGTCCACACCGTCCACTGGTTCTCCTTCCCATGCTACCGGACTCTCTCTGGCACTGTGAAGGACGCTGAGATAAACAGTTAGCGATAAGGGAAGCCTGGGCCTTAGATGACAAGAAGCCTTCTATAGAAATCTATAGAAACCACATTGCACAAACTGGATTTGTGTTGCTGAAGCATGTAGAGGTCCTCTGTGAACAACTAACCAAATAAGGTACATTTTAATCCATCAGCAAGCCACCTACCTGGGCGTGTGCGATGGATATCTAGCCAGCTCCTCCTCTGTGGTGAGATACTGGAACACAGCCTTGGTAGTGGTCTGAATGGGCTCCAGTCGGACAACGTAGTCCGGCCTGTCGACTCTGGGGTATATGGCGTCCAATAAATCCTTCATGGCTACACTCTGTCTGTCGTCACCCGACGGACCTAGAGAAGAACAATCATAAAAATAATTGTTGATGGTATTTTACAAACGTAACTGTATTTAGTGGAGGTCCAAGTGTAAAATTTTGAAACATTCTCAACCACACTCAAAATACAGATTTTTATAAAACAGTTCAACTACCACTACTTTCACCAGATGTTACTATAGAGCCATACATTTATTCTTGATATTAGACAGTAGGTATATCCCCCTTGTACAGTGTATGTTCTTTTAGCTGTGAAGTCATCATCTGACAGTTGGAACTTCGGCCTGGTGGTTAGGTAAAATCATGCAATTAACCAAATGACCAGCCAAAGCATGGGCATCAGCAGCCTGTGAACAAATATGCACTTTCAAAATGTCTTCGAGCAAGACACTGAACCCCAGCCTACCTACTACTTGTGGTAAATTGTGCATGGGCATCAAATAAAAGCCCCAAAATCTAAAAAGACATCATCATCATCATCATCTCAGAGAGGCCGGTCACCCCTTCTCTCCAATTTTCTTTTGTGTTGCTGAAGAAATTCAAAATGCCCATAAAAAAAAAAGAAAAACGCTTAATATGGTTAGTACGTGGATGGGTTTGTGTAACTCTATTTATGCAGTGAAAAGATGAGGGTCTAGGGCTACAAATCATTTTCTGTTTGTGCACTTTTGCTTTGGCACGTTTTTATCCGCACAGAGCTTTCTTTCATGGTGAATACATTTATTTTGCCTCTCTAAAGCCTCCTTAATGTGGATTTACCTATTTTAGTATATAAGCAAGTTTCTTTCATAAAAGTCTTTACAACAGGAGAGAAGAGAAGATAGAAAGAGTTATTTTAGGCTCTTTAAATCATGACTGGATACTGTATAGGTCCACTGTCAAGGCTGGATGGTGAAAAATTAAGTGTTTCAAAGGAAGCCATTTTGTTTATCCAGTAACCACACAATTAATGCCCAGTGTCTCAATGCTGAAAAACAGACACCAATTAAACCATTCATCAAAATAACAATACGATACACTTTCAGCCACTGGTAATGGACTTTTGAAAAATTAAGTCACTGCTGCAAGGAACAACTTCATTAAGATCACACACACATGAAAAGATAGAGATGGTGATGGAACAAAGTTCTTTTTTATAACAGCGATTGCAGCGGATAAAACTGGGAACAATATAATTGACCGCTTGTGTTGAGACTGATTTCTCTTTTAGGGGGAGATGAGAGTTGGGTAACAGAAACATTACTTGAAGAGTCTCCTAGGCTTCATTCTTTCCCTGAGTCATGGACACACAGTGTGGCTAATGAGAAGTAGATAAGTAGATCAAAGTCAATTTCCTTAGTGACATGACAGGGGAGCAGACGTGAAACTGCACTTTGAGTGAGAGAAATGATTGATGTGTTGAACATGTTACAATGTGCATGGGAGTTTGTGCTAGTGTGTGTGTGTGTGTGTGTGTGTGTGTGTGTGTGTGTGTGTGTGTGTGTGTGTGTGTGTGCGCGCGCAAGTAAAGGAATGAAAGAGCACTGTGTACACACAGAGATAAGAGGAGAATAATGAGTAGGAGACAGATGGTGTGAAAGAGAGAGAAGAAACCTTGACAGAACGTGAAAGTGAAATGTGGAGACACCTCTGGAGACGTTGAAGTAATCAATGACTGTGTGCATCGGTGTGTGTGTGTGTGTGTGTGTTAAATAAGCTAGGTGTGTATGGGTACCTAGCTTCATCCCTACCCTGTTTAGGGAGTCTCCATTTGTTTGTGTGATCTGTACAAGTTCTCATTTGAAAGTCGTCAGCATGCAGATAAAAGCTCTGGACCGGGGTCTTGGAGTTTGTGTTTGACCTGTACTGCCAATCCATGTTATTATTTTTTTTTAATGGGTATTTGTTTTTTTATCTTTTATGTTTTTTGTGCTTTGATTTGAGGACTTTGAGGGTGCAGCTAAGTTTTAAAAATGTGTATGTGTAAGTATTCTGGATGTGTTTCTGAGCGCGTGTCTGCATGCCAATGTGTTGTGTCACTAACCGTCAGGTTCAGGCAGTCGTGATAGGCAGTAGTACTCTTTATGTGTGATGAGGTTGGGCAGGCCTCTGAACAGACTGCGACACAGTTTACACTCAAAGATGGTGTCCACCTCCCTCAGCAGCATGTGTTTCAGCTGGCTGGTGCCTGCAAGCCAAAAGAAAAGCAGTGAGGTTTACTTCCAGTGATTTCAGCGAGAATTACAAAAGATTTATAACAGAATATTGTAAAACATCATCAAACCTCTAATCATGGTAGTGTTACAAATAAGCCAAAGGGGCGGCACTTTTTGTTGCCACCGGCGTCACATTGCTGTGATGCTCCACCTAGCAAATGCCCAAGACCTGATGGCTCCAGGTTACCCTGGCCATTGAGTTTTTACAATTTATTGCAAAACATCTAAATTACATTATATTTGCGGTCTTGTAGTTGTTAGAAAGAAATCTGCAATCGGCTTGGGCGGTATTTGCTTTTTCATACCTTCCTGACATTTCATAGGGTATATGTTATATGACGGTATTTGTGTTAAAAAGTGGGAGAGAGTTGTGGGGCCTCTATGTGCTGTACAGTGCCAAAAACAGTAATGAAGGCAATGAAAATTAAGTGAACATTTGTCATAGATCGGGACAAATTTGGGACATTGCAAAAATTGTGACCCCGGGAGGATACCAGAAGAAGGCAATGAAAAACAGGGGTCTCTCGTGAAAAGCTGTTGCTGCAGTGGATACAGACACATTGGTGGGCGTAAATGACATGCACACAGCTTTGTCAGTGTTAGCTGCCAGGGTTTTTTTCTTGTTTCCTAGTCTGGTAACATTAACTCGACTGTGCGAATGGTGGGGTTGACGAGTCCCTCCTTTTTGAGTGCATAGTGAGTTTGTGGCTGAGAGAGAGCGAGCAGCAGGTGAATGCAACAGAGCAGAGGAAAAGGTGAGCAGCAAAGTTTAGCAGTAACTGTACAGTGTAGGTTACGGTTTGTCAGTGAATGAAAGGTGCAGCTAGTTCCAGTTTGTGAATTGTTTACCAGCTGCTGGAAAAGTGAAGTGGGTTATGTTGTCACGTTGTTGATGATGATGTCAGACAGTTTCATGTGGCACCACCCACCTATGCAGAGGGCATACGCTACTGGTATACTGTAATACTGTGATGCCGCCCAAGCCTAATCTGCAGTGCTGTATACTGGTGGTGAGCCCTTTCAGGCTGATAAATACACTGCACATTGCAAAACATGATCATTCATATGATCTTATATTACACTGATCAATATTACTACAAAAACATGGGTAAACAAGATAAAAGACGCTTATAAATTCCAGTCTGTATAAAAGGCCTGTGAGATAAATTTACCTCATCCCAATAAAAATCTCACTGGACCTTTCAAAGAAGAAAATGATAATTGTCGATTAATATCAAGTGCTACTTGTGTGTCACTGCTGTCACCCCCTTTCCGTTTTCAGTCAGTGTCGTCAGCATGCTGACTCACATATTTAATTTCAATTGCATCTAATGCCCTTTTGCCACTGGCTCCATAAAGATGCAACTGTGGTGTGTTGTGGTACGATTGTATACCACAACAGTAGGGGATAATGGTGCTTACACACAATATTATGGCCTTGCCTGAGAGAAGTGTCTCAACCCTTGAAGGAGCTTTCGAAGTCACGCTGAAGTCAACAACAAGGGGGGAAAAAAGCTATTATTATTAAATTGCTATTTTCTGTTTTGCATACTTCAATAGCTCTTGTATAAGGAAATGGAGCTATCGGAGCCAATAAAGCCTGCTGCTGTGTTAATCCAAAGCTAGAATTTCCTGCTACTGTTTTACATGAAATGCTTCCCACCAATGAACCACTGAAAAGCTTTGATTGTGAATCTGCTTGAGGAAGTGCTGGCAGCAGACTGCTAACATTATTTTCAGATGGAAATTGGTTTACATGATGTACATTCTTGCACATTCATCTTCTTTTCTTGGTGGTTCAGTTTTACATATAGCAGACAGATGCATAAAGATGCAGACAGAAGTGAGCTTTGTTGGATGAACCTTAAAACATGACATCAATCTAAATGATGGCATAGGTTTTATGTCAGCATTGGGGTCTGGGATTCCTCCCCCAAGAACATTCTGAGCGTCAAATTCTTAATTTCCTGCAACACGTTGAATTTTATATGCTCTAATGTGTGCCTTTTCTGCATCACTTTATGGTGGAAATGTCTATTTGTGTAGAGGAGAAAAACAAAATTCAGGCGCCTATCAATCTAAGGAACAACCAAGCAACTGTGTCCTTTCTGTCTGCATCATAAATAATGATAAATAAAAAATAAATGGACAGTAAGAAAACACACAGACACAAACCTGAACGGAAGCATTCAATTATCTGCTGAATCCCAGACTTGGAGGTCTGCAGAGGCTGCTGGAGCAGAGGAGGATCTCCAGGCTCCGCACAGAGACCTGGACAGCGAGAGAGACAGAGAGAGGATTGGATTTGATCAAAGGCAGCATATAATTACATATGAGTATGACAGTCTTGGAGAAATACACCATCACCTGGGACTTCTGGGGACCTGGTAAGAAACAAAGCATATTGCAGTGTGCTTGATGGGTACACACAATCACAGTCAGAGAATGAGGTCTGTATGGGATAGTGATTCACTCTGACCTCATTACCTCCTTTGACATGTGGGTGCCTGCACACACACACACACACACACACCAAAGAGTGATTAAGAAAAAAGGTAATCTATCTTTTTCTCTTAATCTCAGTATATCATTAACAGTGTTTTCTCTATATGCATTCAGGACATTCTGAATCACGACCGCCACTACTAAAATTTCCCACGATCTTTAAACTATGCGCTGCAAATGTTTTCACTCACACACTGTGCGAGCACGGCAGCACTCGATCCTCTCCTCGCTTCCTCTCCTCGCTTCCTCTGCTCGCTTCCTCTCCTCGTTCTATGCAGAACATACGTGACAGATGGTTGTAAGAGCAGCGTGACTCTGAATCAGGAGGTGCATAGCGAGTGTTTGATTGTCCGAGCGACAGAAAGTCACGGTGAACGCGAGCGGAGGAAAATATTCTGGCAGTAAATGTACGGTGTCTGTTACAGTGTGTTCTCAAGACCAAGAAAAGTCTGTTGTTTCCCACCTGCTGGAAAAGTGAAACCGGTTAGCGCTAAGTTAGCTAACATTTCCCCTCCCCTTCAGACTGCGCAGCTGAACAGCTGCTATGTAACTTAACATTAGCTCAATTTGTAGAAAGTAACTGGAATCAGCATTTTATTACTGCCTACTTGTCCAATGTTGAGAACATCAAGTACAAACTTAGACTAAACTGACGTAGCCTGCAGCTCTGTCCTGTACAGACTGATTCAATAATTTTTCAAACTAGTCCTTTTAGACGTCCTTTTTTGAGACGTTTCTTTTTGGATTTTAATGTGCAAATAAAATGCACCTCAGAAGGGAGGAGGTTTCTCATGTTGCCTATTTTTTATATTAATATCTACAGATAAATGAAATGAAAATGAAGACACAAAAGGCAAACATGAACAGTCTCTATAATGATTTATATGATTCATATTAACAGGGTTTTCCTGCCGTTTGTCCTGCCCCCGCTGCTGAAAAAAATCCTAGAGGAAACACTGATTAAATATGTCCCTCGTTCCTTAGTTTTATCAAATATGTGATCAGAAAGTAAACACAGGGACCAGACAAAAGGATGAATGAAAAACATTTCTTACATATTCAATCTCTCTGTGATACTTGTTCAGAGGACTATAGCTCAAGTGAGACATGCAGTGGGGGGCAGAGGCATGCTGATGACAAATTTTTTGCTTTAGTCCAGCAGTTTTCGGAGCCAGTGCAGCTTCTGATACTTCACATCGCCAGACCAGGAATGTGACCAAGAGTAACTGTACTGACGTAGATTGGAAGAGGTTTTTCTTTTGCTCGACCCCAATCAACAGGAGTGCAGGGTCAGCTGGAGAACAGCGATCCTGATGCTTGTAGAGATTTAATGTTTTGTTTGATTTACAGGCCTGTTCTTGTATTATCTTCACTTCATTACTTTTAATCATTTGGCTGCCACAATAATACTAACAAGGACTTTGTGCTCGAGTGTCTGTAAATAACAGTGTCCGGTAAATGGGTACAATATTTACATGTGTGCAATCCGTACAATATATGCAAGAGATATCTCTTTTAACTTCAAAATCTCTGTGAAGTGCCACATCTTTAACAATCCTGACTAAAATACAGCAGTGAACAGACACCACAAAGGATGTTTAAAACACATTTCTGCCTGCAACAGAAAAACACAAACTTTTTTTCTTCTTTATAAATACACCTTTGGGGTGTTATTTTTAATTTATTGATCTCATTGCCAGCGAACTTTATTTTTCCTTTGTATGAAATAGGGCACTGGTTAAATGACCCACAGTGCTACTGAGATGTACTGCGTGGAGGTGAAGTGCTCTCATTCTATACGTTTTACATCAATACTATCTTAATAATGTTTCATGGAGAAGGGCATACATACATTAGGGCTGTGACGCTTCTGAAACCGAGACTGGAATCGCGACACAAAAGTCCACGGTCTCGTGTTGCAGATCCGAGAGACAGAACCGCGACATATCCACTCCAGGAACTGTTAAGCTCTCATTAAGACAGAGCAACAGTGGGGGGTGGGCTCGGTAGCGGTGTACATTGTATTTGCATTGACAGTAGGTTATTGTAGGTCATTCTCCATCTTAGTTTAGTGTTTATTTTCTACTTGAGCCTTCTCCTCTTCTCCGCACACTGACATACTCGCACTCACCTAACCTGGCCCTCTGCACGGCAAACACGCAGGCTAGCTCCGACTCTTTCTGTCAGGCAGATCGAAACCGAAACTAAGTGACTGACATCTGCAGTGGACTTTCACTGTTGCGCCATAATGCAACTTTTCCTGCCTTTCCCTTAATGTAATACCTGATAACATCTCTCTCTGTGTTTCACTGCAAAATGCTAAAATGGGTCGCCAAATATACTTTGGCAGGTGCTAATATATCTGTCCGGCCCGTCCAAGTAAAGTATATGTCCAAAAAAAAAAAAACGGGTGGAGGAAAACCCGAGGTATGAACCGAACCTTGGCTCAAAAATCAAGGTCTGAACCGAACAGTGAATTTGGTGTATAGTTACACCCCTAATACACATATAGGGGTAAACAGCCAGGACAGCAGACCAATTACATTTACCAACTCCACCGCAGACCCTGTAATCACCTCAAATGCTTAAGTCTAACTTCTCACAATATATTGATGCGAGAGAAGTCCACAGGGAGAACATCATTTCTGCAAAAACAGCATTTTGTAACAGCTATGGCTGGGACAAAGCTCTAAATCAAACGCTATCAATGTGTCCAGCCATGACAAATGTCCACTGTTTGTTCCATTTTGAAGCAGGCACTTTAATTACAGCCTGCAAACTACATTTTACATTTAGCAAAGATGCACACTGTCAATCAGAGGACAATGCTGTGTTTTGCTAATTCATGGCAACATACTGTATATATGTTAAAGGAGTTTTTGTCTATTTAGTTTTTTTAAGACTACAAACAGAGACCTTGCATGTTTAAAACCTTGTTGACACCATATATGCTGGAATGCACACACACAAGCCCATACTACTGGGTTAGTAGTGCATCATAGCAACGTGTGTGTGCGCGCGCGCGCGTGTTTGTGTTTGTGTGCTGGTGAGTGAGAGACAGACAGAAGGCAAAAAGGCCAGCAGACAGACACACCCAGAAAGACGCAGACATAAAGAGAATGAGAAATGTGACTGACAACTGTGTGAGCGGTTTGACAGAGAGAGAGAGAGATGGAGATTATGTACTAATGTGTGACAGAATGTGTTTTCCTCATTCACATCCCCCCACACCTCTCCCAGGCAAGCTGCTATAATCCCAGTGGGGCAGGTCAGTGACCCGCCGACCTCCACACCCCCCTCTGCAAGAGGGTCAAAGATCAACCAATCAGAAACATCAGCTGAAGTAAACAGCTTCCTTTTACTCTGAGTAGTGAAACCCTTTGTCCGCTACTGTGAGTCGTTTTCTAACTGTGCTGCAGTTAGAAATTAACAAGCGAGATTTACATCTGAATCGAGACATCTATGTTGGGTTTTGAAGGAAAGCACTGAAGCAAGGAGGAAAGCTAAGGTAGAAGAAAAGCAGAGAGGATCATGGACAGCCAAGCCAAAAGGAAGGAAGGAAGGAAGGAAGGAAGGAAATAAACATGTCAGCGTTAAGCAGAAAACATCACATCATCACAAAGACAGCTTTAACAGCCATGTAGTACATTTTCTAATCCAATATCAATGGGTTAGCTTGGCTTTAGACTCATGAAACACACTAGCTGTCAACTGAAACAATAACTGGCAGCTAAGGGTGCTTGTGGTTTCAGGATAAGTCAGTGGTTACACCATGGATGTTTTCCTTTTTCATGCCTCCCAGGCTGTGCTTATATTCATGTAATTTAACAAACCAAAAGCTGTCCAACATCCTGGCAGGGATAGGTTTACTTTTGAACGGTTGATGACAAGTTTTACTCCAGGTGAATTTTTAGTAGGACCAATTTTCTACTCAGTTGGTGACCCGAGTCATCTCACAGCTTACACATTTGGAGTAAACATGATTTGCTAGTTCCTCAAAACATTACAATAGTTATACTAAGGCTAGTGTAATAAATTAAGTTCCAAATAATCAAGTCTATTTGGTTCGTATAGCCCAATTTCAAAAATCACACATTTATGCTGTCAATCTGACAGCATTCAAATAAAGCTAAATAAATATTTGACATGTTAGGCTAACCAGCAGTGCACAATAAATGCCACACCTCTTTTTGTTTCCATTTCCTTTGCGAGAACACACCATTTGATTTTATTTGGCGTGCACAACCAGAAATTGTCTGATGCTCAGGCAGTGAAGCTACACAGCAGGCTGACAGATTTAGCCTTTGGGTGGATAAATCAAAGCAGCAGGATGTGCAAAAAGGAATAAAAAACATTCCTCACCTGTGTTATGACCATGGCTGCCGGCGCAGGTCTGCTGAAGCCGTTCCTCAGTCTGGCAGCTCTGGTCCCTGACCTCTGTGGTATTGCTCCTGTGTTGCCCAGGTACAGGCAGCAGAGGGGGAATGGGCTTCCACAGAAGCTTGGCCTGGAGCTGGGCAGCAGAGTCGCCTTTTTCCTGGCCATCCACTGGAGGTTCCCCCTGGTCCAAGTTCTCCGACAGAGCCTCAACGGAAACAGAGGTCTGGAGCTGGGTCTGATCAGGGGACTGGTCTCCTTCTCTGGGCTGTTCTTGGTGAGGACGCTGGGTGTCTGACTGGAGCTGGCCTTCCTCCATCTCCGCCTGACCACCACTCTGCGGAACCAAAAGGAGAAAAATCAACAAATACAAGTGTAAATAGGACTAAAATTACACGCAAAGCCATTATGTGTATGATGTTTATGTCATTATAGCATCTTTGTAGAATTACAAGAAAATGGTGCAGTCAACATGTTGCTTTTAATTATCCAATAATCTCAGTGTCCCTGGGTGGAATCTGTGGTTGTTTTGAGACCGCCACTGGATGGCGCCAAAGTCACAAATGTTCAAACTGAATAGATAGTGGCTTTAAGAAATTAAGACATGGACAATCTAGTTCACATGGCTTTAACTTAATCCCGATTTTAAGATCATCTTCTAAATCCAGATCACAACAATTTTCCTTTGTCAGAGAAGGAAAGCGTTACCGGCTATTACAGAAAACTAATACATAAAACACGCACACACAAAATCTTGAAACTTGATAATAAAGAGATAAATAAATACTGGCATAAATCCAACAGAAGAAATAGTGCCCATCACAAATAAAATTAGCTATCATTCCCTTGCTGACAAAAATGCATGTTATTGGGCAGAATGAGGGGTCACAGCGGGTAAGTGAGTGAGTGAGTGAGTGAAAGAGAGAGATTCTCTTGTCATGTCCCGTGAGTGTCCAGAATCTTTCTAGGGGGACATTAACCTTGTCGCACACAGACACCCTTCAGCAGATAAGTGACTCCACCCCAAGACTTCAGTGCGCGCATATACATCTGTCTGTGCGAATGTGTTGCTGTGTCTCTTGACCAGACCTTTCTCTCCAAGTCCCCAATCTTTTCTCTTCTCCCACCCACCTATTTATCCTTATTTTCCCTCTCCGTCCGCGTCTCTCACTCCCCGTGTCCCTGCTGCCCTTGAAGACGAATAAATGACTCCACCGTTCAGGCACATTACAGCACATCACCATTGGCCAAGTGGGCCACTCGCACACAGTGTCACCATTATATACACATACAAACACACTTTGCATACCATGGCATAATCAAATTACCACAAAACTGTTACACATGCTCTAATCTAACACTTCTATATTTCTATGGCAGGAAAAGAAAACATCTTCACTGTGCAGTGCACAAGTAAAAAGAAATATCAGTGAACACTACCATTCAGTTAGCATTTGAATCTATCAGTCAATTATCAACAATTCATGCTTCATTTTTATTTTTCACTGGGAAGTGATGAGCATAAAGGAGCCTGTGAATTTACACAGGGGCAGCTGTGGGTTAGAGTTAGAGTGGGTCACCCACTAATCCAAAGATCTGTGGTTGTACTCCTGGCTCCCCCCAGCCTGCATGATGAAGTGTCCTTGGGCAAGATGCTTCTGAAGGCTGTGCCATCGGTGTGTGAGTGTGTATGAATGACTAATTTCTTTCTGATGAGCAGCTGGCACCTTGCATGGTAGCCTCTGCCATCAGTGTGTGAATGGGGCAAATAAAGCATTTTTAGTGGTTGGAAGAAGAAGAAAGGCGCTATACAAGACCATTTATCACAATACAATGACTTTCTTGTATTGCCTGGTGTTTGAGCACAAACTGTATGTCCCTCGTGCAGGTCTTTACCTGCATGAGGGACTATCCCTAAACACAACAAAAAACGTTAGACATGAATAAATTAAAACATAAACAAACAGGCACACAGGGCTGGTTTCCAGGACAGGGATTAAGTCTAGATTTCATTAGATCAGGACTAAATTTAATCCTTATCCAGAAAATTGGTTACATGTTCTTCTGAATACCTTTTAAGAGAACAGTTTGGTGGTTACACATTGGTAGTTTCACATAATAATAAAGTACAGTGTCTGGTAAACTAGGATCAAGATTTCAGATGGTGCCTTTTTAATAATTTGAATTGTGTACTATAAAGTGGGCTATACTGTATACAGAGCTTTTCTCCACTGACACACAGAGAGTAAAATTTGACCATGATGATAGTTGTTCAAATGACAGACTGCACAGGTGGGAGTCGAGTTGGGTCTTAACATCAAGGAAGTCATTGGTTATCTTTTTTTTTTTCCAGTACCTGTCTGCGGTGACAGTGAGAGCTCTTCCTCCCAGTTGACTTCTGGGCCTTCACCATGCTGCCAAGACTGGCCTGCTGCACCACACGTTCACTACCAGCACACACCTGTAACCTGCAACAACACTCCACATGAGCCAAGGAAGGCTTAGCAAAAGAAATTACAGAGGCTTCTCATGTCTCATCCTTGCACTGTTTTCATGTTTGCTTATGGATGGATTTACACCTAATAGCCAGCTGTTACCTGCAACAACAAAACTTCTTCTAAGAACTGTCACGTCCATTACATTTAGATGCAGACAGCCTACATGCTCCATCACTGATATTTAAACATTTAAGGAAAAGAGCATAATGCAAGGGTTAGACATGCCTTCAATCAGGCCCCATATAGACGCCCTTTATACCATCTAAAAAGCAATGTAAATGCTAAAAATAATGTGTTCATTTTCTTAACATAAAAGTGTTACTGTGTATCTGCAGCTTTGCACAGAACCTGAACATGATAGATTGAAAATGTTACCCGGTTTAATTTTGCCAAACATCTTACACATCTGTAAGCCATCACAAAATGGGTGAATGTCCCGGAAAGTTGGTGAGCATGTACATGTACACACTGCCATTCAAAATACAATTGCTTACCGTAGGCACTATTATATTTTGACATCCACAAATGCACCAATCGGATAGATTTTTATTCTAAAAGATAAGTTAATTTAAGCTAGAAGCAAACAATTAGCAACAATGTGTCATACTACATTAAAATGTTTTATCCTAAAACAACAACAATTCTACTTATGTTGCCAAACTGTACACCCACAACACATGCCTGTGCAGACATTTATTGTGACACTGATATTTATGTATAATGCATTAGAAACCACAGAGTAAATAAGACGGCTTTGTGTGTTTACTGGCTGAGTGCACCGCGCAACAAACTGGATCTAAATATAAAACAGAATTTAATATTTTAAGGTCATGGTAATGGTTTCCCACAATGCTAGTTTGGCTGCTTGTCACATTGCTGGTAGGACAATTGAACCCATGTTACCTGCACCATTTTAAATGGACACTATCACATTGCGCGTTTAAAATGATTAGTCTGGACTTCCTAACATAGCTTATGCTAATGGTTATATGTTTTTCCCAGAGACCCTTACAATACTAGAAACACTGTATATATAAACACTGCATATATATGTGGATCTGCATTAAAAAAACATATGGATACACAAAAGTGTTAGGCAGGTGTGGGAAAATGCTGATACATGATGTGCTGTCCAAGCTCTTTTGAGGAAGTACAAAAAAAACGTGCAGTGTTGAGGATTGTAGACCCAGTGGTTGGCCAAATGCACGTACTGCAGTAGATGAAAGACACATCACGCTTAGTTCCCTTCGCAATCGGAAGATGTCCAGCAGTGCCATCAGCTCAGAGCTGTAGAAAACAGTGAAACACTGCAACACCCATCTACTGTCTGGAGAAGTCTGGTAAGAAGTGGCCTTCATGGAAGACATACCTCTGACAAACAAGGCCAAGTGACTCAACTATGCACAGAAACACAATGGTAGCAGACATACATCTCCTTATTTGTGGCATATTACTCTGGTAAATTAGATAGATGGATAGACAGACAGACAGACACATAGTGTCAGGATGAATATTATGACCAGTTTTCATTTGTCTATGTTGTTTCCCCTACTAGGCAATAAATCTGAAATGTAGTCTATGAGCCCCCACTTATTACGGCTATGTAAATGGCTATTGACAAGGGCCTCTAAAAAGCAATTTATTTCATTATAATTATTTATATTACAGCATCAGTGATGAAATAATAGATTTGTTGCTGCCCTCTAGTGGCGGTCTACATTAAAGACTGTTTGGTCCAAGTCACCCACATGCACCCGACACCACACTAGTGCTTAATTGCACTGGTTCAGCATAACATGCTTTAGCTGCATTGTGGCATGCTGAACAACCTCACTGTTTTCTCATTTGTTATCCTTTGTCACACCTACTGGCAACAGAAGTCCAGCATTAGCTATCACCAAGGTTAGCGTACCAGCTGAAAGCTCCAGACTTCAAGATATTGACAGTGGATAAACTTTTAATGCCTCAAGATTCAACAGTGGACTGATTAGATGAGCTGCAAGTGACAGGCACTTAATGCAGTTTGGGGCACAGGAGTCTTAGACTTAATGGAAATTTGAACAAGCAGACAACAAGGGGGGAGAAAGACTACACCTGAGCAACAAACAACTGAGCAGAACATGAAAAAGGAAAAGCATTGATCGAGGATTAAAATCAAGAGCACATCTTTTCTAAACCTGGGGTTGACACACATTAGTTAATTCTGTGATTTTATGCTTAACTATAACAAAATATTAATACCCTATAGATGTAAGGCAAATAATCACCGTGCCTTACATGTAAGTGGAAACTTAGATTCAAAGTTATATCAAAATCTGACAGTAATGGAAACATTGTCCCTGTAAAGCTCATGGTTTAAAAATTGAACTGCAGAGCACAAGCCTGCAGCCACAGTGAAGTTATATGACAATAAAGTGAAATGCATGCTTCATTGATAACAGTCAATGTCAAATCCGCATGCATAAATCCACTTGGGTGTATTTGTAGTTCCACAGAAACTCCAGCAGAGGGAGAGAGAGCTTGTACTTAAAACGTTTTCCTAGTTGAAAAGTTTTGTAGACTGGTGATGTCTCCAAAAATGACACAGAGCAACACACACACACACAAGCTGCTACAGAGGGGTTGCTCCAAAACAGCGTTAATACAAAGGATGTGATTTCACTGCACTATTTCACTAAGGCATGCACACAGATTCAGCTCAGCCCGGTAATTAAAGTAGCCGATGCAAAGAGCAGCAGGTGAGATGATTACATTTTGAAACGACTACTACACAACTTCACTAACTCAATTATCTGCCAGAACAATGTCAACACGAAGCCACTGTGTCACATGGAGAGACAAAGGTCAGATTGCTCTTACGGCCTTGTTATGTGAAATGTAACTTTGCAAGGTAACAGCTGTGTAAATCATGTTATCACACATGTATGTTCCTCAGCAGAGAAGTGTCACTGATTAGGATGAGTTTTTGCATTGAATTAAAAACAAAAAATACAATTCTGCACCTGTGTTTTGTAAGCACCAAATCTGGACCCAATTATTGGTTGCACATATGTTTCAATCAGCATCAATGTCAGTCACTTGTAGCACTTGACATTGCTTAAAACTGAGTTTGGAGATGGCATGGTTCCTACATTTGAATCCAGAGTTTCCTATTTCCCTTTCTTATGACTGGATGACTATGACTGGAGTTCAACATGACAGTTTGACAGGTATCATGGCTGACAGTTATTACTGACAACTGCAAACATCACTTAGTAAAATCATTGTGAATTTGCAATTACATACATAATGCAGTGTCTATTATTGGAACAACAATATTAATTCTTCAGAATCTTTGCAGATATTCAGGAAAGCCTGGTGTAGACATTTTTAAAATACTGGATGGATATAAAAAAAGCACAGACCATAGTGAACCATTTTCCATGGATAAAAGCCATGATTTTCCCAGATTGCAGTCATAAGATCAAACTTGTTTGATACTATTGTGACATAATACGGTCCAAGTCACAAATACAGACAAGAGACCATCAAGCACCACACATTAACAGACTGTAAGTCTTTCTGACTGTAAGGTTATAATCAGACTTTAAACTGTAGTTGTAGTTTGTTACTGAATTTAAAAAAAAAAGGTTCCAGACTTCCAGCCCTGCAACAACTCTCCATTTTCTTTTAAATTCCGGGTGGACACAAACAATCTGCTATTAGTACTGAGGATGAGCAAATTAAGGACTCTGCAATAACAGCAGAGGCTACTTACAGTGATGGAGCTGTTGCTTAAACACAACTGGAGTTGAGCCTCAATTAAAGGGACGTTGGTCTGTACTGGTCCAAAACACATGTGGGTAATGAAAGTTTGTGTCATACTACATTAAAATGTTTTAAATTCTATCCTAAATAAGCTTCAACAGGAATCTGAGATGTAGCACTACCAACACTGTTGGATTAAATTCTGTGTAAAAGGTGAAGACACAGGATGCTACAGGTGGAGTATGATTTGGGGACTTTATTCCTGAACCATTTCCGAGCACAGGTTTAACAGTAATGAAGACACAATTCATTTCAAATAGAGCTATTAGATCAAAATACTTTATAGTCTAGCAAAATTAAGAGCAGGCATAATAATGCATTATGTACCTTTCCATGTTCTATTTATATCAGAGAGAGAGGGAGATTAACACTAGCCATTAACTATAATGGGAAATCAGGACTATGACCGGAAAGTCTGTCTACCCTGCCGACTACTGAAGTCCTATTCCTTTATTTGTTGTTTTTTAAATAAAGTCAGTTTTTGTTGGTATGAGACTTACTTTCAAACTCAAGCGGATTTATCCTTCTCTTACCCCTCTCTTCTCAGAGCAAAGATCTCCTTGGGTAAAGCTGTGTGTAGTTTGCATGCTGGTGGGATTTCCCTTCCAATGTCTACAGACATCTTGCTCTGGTGAAGACTCTACATTGGTCTTAGGTGTTAAGTGTGAGCTTGAGTGAAATTGACTCTCTATGATGTGTTAGTCTGTTAGCACATCATAGAGAGTCATGTGGCCCCTGATGAACTGTTGAGGGTGTTTCCCAGCATTTCACCTAATCCAGGCTGGGATAGTCTAACCTGAACAGGAGTAAGATATGGGAAATTGTATGTATGTATGTATGTATGTATGTATGACACTACAAATGAAAACCTGAGGGAGCTTCTCAGTAAAACAGAACATTTTCAAATTCTAATCCTAAACCATTCTTACTTTTTTCTGTGAGGTTTGTTTGAAGCGCTCCAAGTCAGATTCATCAAACTTAAAAGTCCTGCAGTCAGATATTAGCAGATGAAAAACAAATGTATAGTTTTCATTAGTCATATTAGAGGAACACTTTGCTGTTTAAAATATTTTGTGTAATTAGGAAGTATTAATAGTACAGCTGCCAACAACGCATCATCAGAGCAGCATTATACAGGCATAGGCATTCCTTGCTCACACAAG